ATTTACTGGGGTTCGTTGGGTATGTTTATGTCTTGGGTTCCTCAGGTATGTTCTATGTCCTGGTATGTTCTATTGCGTAGGGTTCCTTATGTATGATCTATGTCATGGGATTCGCTAGGTATGTTCTACGTCCTGGGGTTCTTTAGTTATGTTATATTTACTGGGGTTCGTTGGGTATGTTCTATGTCTTGATGTTCCTCAGGTATGTTCTATGTTCTGGTATATTCTATTGCGTAGGGTTCCTTATGTATGATCTATGTCATGGGGTTCGCTAGGTATGTTCTATGTCCTGGGGTTCTTTAGTTATGTTATATTTACTGGGGTTCCTTGGGTATGTTCTATTGCGTTGGGTCCCTTATGTATGATGTATGTCCTGGTATGTTCTATTACGTTGGGTTCCTTTTGAATGATCTGTGTCCTGGGGTTCCTTAGGTATGTTTTGTGTCTTGGGGTTTGTTTATATACTTTTTTTGATTACCACACCCGTGCTATTTTTTAAATAACCTGAATGTTTAGTATTTAGGCTGTACATGGAATGTGATGTTTATATACTTTATGAGTTTAGTATTAATCTCCTTCTCTCCTTTCTCTATTCTTCTTCTATTCTCGGATAGTCTGGTTCTACACCATTGGCAACCACTATGACAAACCTGGAGAGCAGCAATATAACTGGAAACCGATCCTACTGTTTGGCATCGCAAATTCGCTATTCTTCATCTTTGTCACTCAAGAATATCCCGCGATTTTCCAGGTGCGTGCTAAATGGACTTTTATCGAGAGTACATTCGACGTTGAGACCTATATTGAGCTCAGATCTGGTTCATACTAGACATAGATGCGACTTGTGTTTAGCTTGATGGACCTTACATCGAGTGCCTCAGTATCAAAAGAATTATATGCACGCTGAGATCTTTATTTTTCCTATACTGCGAGTGATGTCAAAGGTGTGTATGCACTAGTTTAAGCCGATTTCGGATCGTCAAAGGTGTATATATTTATGTATATAACAAGATAGGATCGCCAAAGGTGTGCAGGC